TGGTGAACGAATGATGGAAAGACAACAAGCTAAACAAATTCCTCCCACCAACGATCAATTACATCACAATGTGCTGGACACCAACAATGCTTGAGATGGAGCGATGGCAGATGGAACATGAGGCAAGGGATGGGTTTTGGGCATGATACTTTGAGTTGGAATTCGAAAGTAGTAATGAGGAAAATCAAGCTATGGAGCAGGCTCTCGACAACCTTATCTGATCACCAATCACCATCCGAATACCATAACGATGTCAAACTATGTAGAGCTCAATGTGAGGCTGCAACAACAGATTGTTGGACTGTTGTTCAACCGCGATATTATCCAACTTGAAGTCTACTTCGAAATCCTCTGGATAGACTACTGTCCTGATTGTGCCAACGCTTGAGCTGATGTACAGCATGAATCTGGTATTCGTGACTACTGTGATTTGCATTTCTTTGAGTCTAAATCTGTTCTTAAGGTTTCTTCTTGTGCTTGGTGTGACACCTACAATGAAGAGCTGATAGCGGAAACAGAAGCCTTTAGCTTCTCAGACTCCACTTTTGATGATTATCAGGTTTTCTTTCTTTAAAAAGTTGTTTTGTTTTCGGGAATTTAACCTATACGGGTACTCAGTTATTTGTTTTGCTTTATGTTTGCTTTAAGTATCACATTGATACTTGGTTTGCTTTAAACATCGTTTGATACTTGGTTTGTTTTAAGTATCATTTGATACTGGGTTTTGAATTATGTTTTGTTTTAAGTATCGCTTTGATACTTGGTTTGTTTTAAGTATCGTTTGATACTTGGTTTTGTTTTATGTTTTGTTTTAAGTATTGCTTTAATACTTAATTAGTTTCACCAAAGTGTATCGATTGATCCCTTTGATTAATTTCGTTCATGCTAGACATGAACTGACGATTGTATTTAAAGACCACCTGTTTCTACGACACAAAAGGCAGACTTCGACAGACAGTATTTCAATATACTTGGTTGAACGGTTACTTCTTTGTCACTCAGTACACCCTCCAAGCCTCTTTTAGTTCTCAGCTCTCACCTCCTCTGCGGAAGAGTAGGCGACATCCCAATTATGGTATCTATTACAGATAACGTAATTAGCACCTTTCGAACACGTTACAATGTATATAATACAAGCCTTCTACTGCAATCTCTATCTACAGACACGATTCATGGTTGGCCTAGACAACTCTGGGTCTATAGGGACTTTCTCTGCTTAACACCGACCTATTCAGGGTGAATTTGAAATTACATCTGCAGATACAACCCACAGATGAATCTGATAACTTCATTGATAGGTGAGGCTATTTGGGCCAACTCAGTTCGACTGGAGAACTAGCCCATAATTCTACTAACTTTAAAGATCAGATAATTACTATTGGGAACTGTATAGCTCCTAAATTAGAAAAATCGTGATTACTGAAGAGGGTGTGGTGGCTTTCAGGGTCTTGAGGTATTCACACCCTTGCATAATACTTGACGTTGCGAGTTATATTCAGAGAGATACATAGTTTGTATAATAGATAGATGTAGTTCATGAATACTCAGACGCTGACTATAAATATCAAAATTTCTTCAAAAGCTTTTAGACATCATCTGGTACCGAACAAGTGACTTTGACAATATAATATTATTCTTACGATTCTGTTTTACTTCACCTTAGTCTTACCTGTCATGAAAGAAATGAGTATCTTTTGAGCCTTCCCCATCAATCTCCCTCTACAGAAAGGACTCTGGGTTGGCCTATACAACTCTGAGTCTATACAGGTTGTCTCTACCTAATATATGATGCGGCACTGACTCTGAATACAGATGCCAGCAGCAGGAATCCATGAGGTGGTCAAGGAGTGGTTAAACTATCCTATAGAAAGGATTAACCAGCATATTGACTCTATGGCATCATGGATAGAGGCTTGTATTTAGGATGAGGGAGGAAATGCCTTTAATTATTAGTAAAGTTTAAAGCCACATTATCTTTGAGTGACCAGCTATGCAAACCTACCCCCTATAATTTCTAATGTTTTTTCCTCTTATTTTCTATCTACTATCGTGAAGCTGCCATTTTTACCCCCTTGTGTTTTCCTTCTTTCGGAAAATAAGGTACATTGATTGGGAGGCATATGCACTTGGGTATATGCGGACCCGGTCGTGTTCACAAACGTCATGCGCTTGTGAGTACAATACCCAATTAATTTGCAACCCAATAATGAATGTGATCCGTCACGAAGCCTTTTAGATAGCAAGACAAGTTCGTTCTGGGGAGGGAAGGAGGGAGGGAGCACTAATAGCAGTATCAATTTTTTGTCATTCTCTGGGCTGACAGCGAATGTGTTTATCCTCCCGCTACTAGTATGTTTTGCTTGTTCACGGTGGATTATAAAAGTGGGACTGTGAGGAGCTTATATAATACTCGAAAAACTTGCTGGTAATGACATGGTGGATAGTGCCGGTCAACTTGAATTTCTGTCTTATCATAGACATACACTGGATGGCGGTGACACAATTTGCTTGCTTGCTAATATCACTGTGATAGTACCGAACGAGCTAACGGTGATGGGACGAAAGGCACTCACTGTAGGTCATGAGAGGTGTGCCATCTGATACAGTATGGTATACAGGCACCGCCGCACTCGGTTCTTCGCGGCCTTATTGGGCGCGGAGGTAATAGAGCTCCCACGAGTGTGGGGGAGGGGCACTGTGAATGGCAGTGTTTGCCAAGAGGTTTTTTTCGAGTATTGGCAGGAAGGATATTTGATGATCCAGGAGGCAACTGGGCACAATCCTCCTGTATGCGGAAAGTGATTGCTGTTCGGCTCATTAAGGGAGAGTGTTCTCACCTATCTTTAGCCTTCTCCATAAAACGGGAAACAAACTTGGATAAGTCCACGGAAAGGAAAGCCGAAGGGAGTTGGAAGAACAAGAGCTATTCTTGATAGTAGAGATGGAAACTTGATGAGTTCAAAAGATCATGGGCACGAGTACAGAAATCCTCATAAAGATAAAGACTTCATTCCCTGTCCACGGAGGTGATCTCTTCTTTATTTTTATTTTCTCTACCGGCCTCTCTCTCTAAACTATGTATAAAAAACGAGTCTTCCCCTTACCCATAGTGCTCCCAGCACGGATGATAAAACTTCCTCCCTATACATGTTGAGACATTTACCTCCATGCCGCGCCCATATCCTCCTCTAACAGCACTCTACTTCACAGTCGTCCAACAGAAGGATCGATAACATGAGCAAAAAAGTAAAAAGCTGGGTTGCTCATCAACAACCTGGAGCCGGCAACCTTAACCAAGTTGTCACGTGCCTTGCAAGTATTACCAGTTACTATATGGACGAAGCTTTAGTCCATGGTAACTTAAGTTATCGCACCCGTGGGCCGAACGGGTACGAGTATTTCTCTTCAATTCAATCTTTTTTTTTACGTGCCCGGAAGTGTCATAAACATATGCCATCGAGATAATCGTGGGTATTGAGAAGGCTTCACGTCTTGCTCAGGATAAGAGTAAATTTACCGGTATCAGATGAATCCCGGCAGATGTTTCCCTTGACCCCATTTGGTGGACACCCGCAATGTGGAGGTTGCAGGAGAGGCGTATTAACTTGATAATATAAATGAGCCGAGAGGAGGATGCCAACGGAAAGAGCATCCCCCGCACCCGTCCTTTAATTTAGATCCTGATGGCAATGGCAAAGGTAATATATATTATTATAGAATTAGTGAGTACGTCATTGTCTCAGATAGAACTATCAGGGTATATTATCACATACCCGTAAAGAATTGGTCGAAACGACCTTTATAGAGGAACGTTTTGGAACCATGATATCCGGAGTCGTGAGAGCTCTGCAAGCTATGGAAAAATGAAACAAAGGCGTACACTATCCACACCGACCAGCGGCGACCGAATAAATGAATAAAAACATCCATCAGCCAATCGGATTCCACTAAGCATTGACTAGCGACTAACCAGCGGAATCTTTGTCCCCACAGGTAAGGATACAACGTCAAGAGCGAGTGATCGAGGGCATACATGATATTTAGCAGTGGGCAACTGATCGTGAACACCTCCCCATTAATGTGTGCATATCGTGATGGGAAATAAAATGTTTATACCAACCCAACACCTAGACAGCTCCTCCGCCGGCTCTGCTTCGGATCTGCAGCTCTTCCTTGACACATGCTACGATACCCCTCGCATATCCCGAAGCGGTTGAATGCGGTATAAAAAAAATAAAACACCCCTTCATGCGAGAAACCTAGAGCGCAGTGTATATACCCAGCATGGCTCCCCTAGGCTCCACGTCCGTCACTAGGCTAAGATATCCCATTGCGCTGCTCCGTGGTCCCTTATGCCGCCCCCGCCTTACAGAGAACTCGAACAAAGATACATGAAAACTCACTCGTTACCTGCGTTAGCGATCCCCCCCAAAATGCCTGCCGATACCCACGCGAAACCGCAAGAGAATAAAGCGTGCAAGGGTGGAAACGACGAGAAAAGCAATTCCATAAATTTCATCACTAACCACCCGAGCAAAAGGGGAAGAAGGCCTCAATCTCGGCCAAATCAATGCTATTGGCTAGTCATCAATTCGTCGATAACCACATATCAATCACAAGCCAATCCTTTATGGTATTTTGGGAGAAAAAAGGGGACAAAAACGCAGGGAACGAACGAAGGGCAAGGGGAAACGAAAACCACAATATATACTACGCGAGCCTGCCAGAGAATGGGAGGTGAAGAGGGAATTACTAATTTCGAAAGGGGAAAAGTGAGGAAAAGAGGTGAAAAATGCCAGCCCGATGTGAGGAGAAGAAAAAGAAAAAAAGGCAATGTGAGGAAAAAGGGAAAAAGCAACAAACTCCCCCACCGAGGCGACAAGCTGGGGGGGGAGGGGGAGAAGACATGAAAAGGAAATAAAACCCATATCTACAAGAAAGAAAAACCAGCCGGGTATGAAAGCATATAGATCGGGGTTTTTGTTGTGGCCGAGAAAGGAGGGAAAGGGGGAAAAAATAAACCCGGAAGGCATAAAGACTAAAGTATAATATAAAAGCGTATTCATTCATCCTTCCCAGCCGACTTCCAGGGTTTTGCCTTGACCTTCTTCTTCGGCCTCATTAGGCCCTTCTCGGGAGATCCAGATGTGAACTTGCGCTTCTTGTTATTCCCTGGTGTGCCAAGTTCTCCACCAATACCGCCTTCTTCCTGGAGGTCATGGATTGGTGTCAGGGCCCTTTCACCATCGAGGTCCTCGGGATCCTCGCCTTCAGCGGCGAGTTTGAATTCATTGTCAACTGTAAGGAGGTCCACGAATTCTTTGCACTGCTTCATCATGCCCTCGTCAGACTTGAGGTCGGTCATGATTTCCTCAAATCGTTTCCAAAGTGTGGCGGCGCCATTGGACCAGGTGGCCGCTCTTGATGGCGCCTTGTTCGCGTCTTTGGCGGAGAGTTTGTTGCTCTTGTAATCGCGGCTCTTGTTGTCATTGATGCTATAAGACTTTCTCAAGAAATACCTGCATTCCCATAACATGAAGAGGATCGCCGCACTAGTCGCCAATAATTTCAGAGTATCTGGTGTGATAATTCGCTCTGTGGTGTCCCCAGAATCCAGTTTAAGAAGAAGGATATCTGTCTCGATTGAATGGGCCACAGTGATTCCTGTTCCAGAAACGACTCTTTCCATGGTGGTCACAACTTGGTATAGCTCATCAAAGGTCCCATACTCAAAGAAAGCAAGATTCTCGAGCACAAATTTCGAGTAGCCCAGATGATTTGGTTTCGAGGGATCAACATATAGTTTTGGGGACTCAAAGTCCACACTCATGGTCATGTTCCCTAGCAACTTCTTTCTCACCTTACGACTGCTCTTGGCAATCTCATATAACGGATGCATCTTAGAGGTGAATGGGTTAGCCGTAGCACCTGACCCATTGCCGATAACATTGCGCTGGTAGATGTAACAAGCAAGGACACCGTCCATGTACCCTCTTTCCACTATAGTCTCGTGTTTGGAGTGCAGCATACGATGCTCCCGATTGGAGATAGCCTGAATCGCGACGTTTGCAGAGGTTTCAAGGGCTACCAAGGCAGGAACGCACTAATCTGGATATCCCACCATGTCAACATAACAAGACTACGAAACAGTCCTAATCAGAGTTCTTTCTCCTCTTATCGGTTGCCTTATTTTCAGGCGAAGCTTCATCTGAGGCCTCCACCGCTTCAACCATCACGACGCTCTTGCAACTAGCGCGCTTGCTCGTAGCCGGTTCACCAGCTGCTCTAAAATCGACGACTGTAGGGGTATAGGTAGTGGAAGTACCAGAGGTGGCAATAGAGTGGAATGCCTCTTTCAGGTTACCGTTACCGTTGGTATCGACAGCCTGCTTGGATTGGGGTTTCGTCCTCCTGTGAGAGAGTAGGGAGGAGTCGGGGATCTAACGTCTTCATCAGACTCCTCCACCTCCGTGTCTTCTTCGTTCCTGGCAGTTAATTCGGCCTTATCACTTTCTGCCTCTGACTCTTGAACATTGTGACGCTCAGTATCAACGGTTGTAAAGCCAAGAGAGGATTCGACGGTTTGAAGAGCATTGGCGACTTTATAAGTTGCCATATTCTTCTCGTACAGTAAATCTCACGGTTTTTCGCGGCGATGTCCTCCCAGGCCTGCGTAATTCATTAATCCACAATTAGATAATTCAGTATCCTGAGCATGGACATGCGATTTGACGTACTTTCCTCTCATGATGTAGAGTATGAGACCAACGCTTCGCGAGCCCCGCCGTAACGTCATAGCGTATGGCATGCGGGCCGAGATCAGAATTAACGATATCTCTACCCGGAGAGCAGAATAAGAAATAAGCGCCCATATGTCGCTCCGGCATCCTAGGATTGCGCTGTTTGCGTTTCGCTCTCTCTTTATGCCCTTTCGGTTCCTGTGCAGTGGCTGGTTGGAGTAGCGCTTGAGGCTGTTGCTGCTGCTCCTCTCAAGATCCGATCAAACCGTTGGACAAAGCTACATCGGTACGAGACACCTCCTAGGCGGTATAGCGCAAAAGAGTCAATGAAGCAACAAGCTAGTAGTCATGTTAGTGACAATGTCTCGAGGATACTTTCTTTCGTAACGACAGCGGCCGCAGGAGCGACAGTAGAGCGGTGATAGTCATGACGAATCCCCCTGCGAGCAGGGGGATTATGTATGGTGATTGATAGATATGTAATATATCTGCAATAGGATATGTCTTGTATGCAGAGTCTGAAACCCAATAGGATATGTGTGTTAGAGAATTGTCTTTGCGATGAAATGCATCCCAGCTGCACTGGTATATGGGACAGCAGTCGGGAAGAGGAGAGAGGCAGAATAGGCGTGAGATATATGGAAGTGGAAAGGAATGAATTGAACATCGATTCTTAACGAATGAAGGGGAAAAGAGGCTTACATCATCGCGTTGGCGACGAATGTGGTCTATATCGGAGGAATTTCCATTACTAGATCCAGCCATATCGTTCGGTTGAAAGAGATAAGTGATCGAGATCGTGTTATATTTTCTATCCCGACAATCGGATGAAGGTTGTGATGTATTTGTACTTGAGGTGATTGTTGTAAGAGATAGTAACTAACTTGTGGAAGTGGTGTCCGGTTGCGGTTGCTGTAGTGGTTGGTGCGTTCGACTCAGAGATGTAGGCTTGAAGTAAAGACTTGGTAGAGAAGAGGGGAGCGAAAAGGGGACGGGGAGTGCACTAGGGAGGTAATCGAGTAAAATAGTTGCGAAATCTCAGCCAAACCGGACTCAAAACAGCCAACGATGTCAGGGATAGAAGGTGCGTGGCCGGGAGGGAAGTGTGAGTATGAGATGGTTAAAGGATGGAAGGCAGCAGAGGGGGGATGGGTAAGGCCGGTCAAATGTACTCGAGGAGCAAATAGGAATTACGGTGCAACCAAAGCTCCCAGCCCAACACCCAAGGCAGGGTAACTACACCGCACCTGCCTGCCTCACATTTAAAGCGAGGCGTCATTAGTATTATTTATGAAGCCAAAAAAGTGACCTCTAAAGAATAATACGATAGTAGATAGCACAGCTCTAAGAGAGCACGGCTAACAAATTGGATAAGAAACCGAAATTCTGGGTGGTCTGTAAAAATCCGAATTCTTTATTTTATTATATGGTAGGCGGACGATGCCCCACATAAGCAAACTTGACCTGCCCGGAGGTGTAAAGTGAGGTTACATTAGTATACTTTATGAAGTCAAAAAAGCTAATCTCTAAAAAATAAACATACTTCTGGATAGCAAGGAATTCTGAGAATATGAGTATCAAACTGATAGAGTAAGCGAAATTCTAGGTGATTTGTAAAATGACATTGTCATATAGTCAATAACCTGGTGATACAGAGTTTACGTATCCCATATCTGGGTGAGGAATTCTGAGTTTTATGGACCACCAAGAATTACACTTTCTTAAGCCAATTCCTTAAGGATCGCACCATTTATCTTCGTAAATAATAATTCCTCGTATTCAGGTGGGCCATGGTTACAGTGCAAAATATGATAAAATTATGAATTCCGAGTTTTACGAACCACTAAGAATTTTCGCTTTCTTACAAAATTTGATAACCCTACTCTCTCAAAGCTGAGATATCTATCTACTGGTATGTTTATTCTTCAAAGACCACCATATCTGGCTTCATAAATAATACTCATAATATTATGACCTCACTTTATAATTACGGCCGGGGCAAGTTCGCTTATTTAGTCCGTTCGCTTATCTGGGGTGTAGTTACCCGGCCTCGGGCGTTGGACTGGTAGTTTTCGTTGCATTGTAACACCTCGAGTATCCTACATTTGATCTGCCGTATCCTTGTCTATCCACATCACCGAATTCCTAGCCGATTTTCATCACGATGCCACACTGTTCCTTTCGCGAGACTAATTCAATCATTCCCCAAAACGTTTCCCATAGGCTATAGCTGTTCCAGACAGTCATGATACATTCGTACCTCTTCTTCTCCCGTTTCCTAACTCTCATAGTGCGACACCTTCTTTTTGACCTCCGGAGAGTAACCGGTTGCTTCTGGTATCCCTAGAGCTAGTTCCTGAAACCTTCCAAACACTTCTCCTTGCACTAATCGCTAGTTCTAACATACCCTTACTTGTACAATGACCCTTTCCTTAGCTTGCTCCACCATTGCATTCCCAAGCAATTGCCCAACAACCTTTGCCTCATGCTGCAAAGTGTGGAAACTTCGTGATTTTAAACAATTTTCAGGTTCATCATGAATTTTAGTCCAATACTACGGAGCACCTACCTCCGTTTTTCCTTAGGATGAGGCGTAATGTTGCGCTCGGAGGATGTATTTTACACAAGGGGTAAGGGTGCAACAACTCGACCCTGTTACTTTGGGTACGGTCGGGACAATCCCGCATTTGTTTGCTACTCTCCACTGAACCACCCTGGCCACGCCTTACCGGAACCTGTTCAGCATGCTATTTCGCTGGAATATCAGAATTATTTGATGATACCATTTCGCGGTTTATATCAAAAGCTTCGCGTACTCGGGGAACAGCCCTGCACCGCATTCACTCTGTTACTCCCCCCTTCCATGTCGAAACTGCCTTTCATCTTCACCTTCCACTGTACATCGTTTGACCGCTCCCCTTTCCACTAATCCTCCGCTCTTATCCACACCGCCCACCACAACGCCTTTGGACAGCTTATCAGGGTATAACTAGAAAAGGATATCTCCATCCTGTCGCTGCCTCTCCCAGGTCGAACGTTAAAATTGTTTTCTTGATACTGAAAACCCACCCATTGTCCGGTTCTCTTGGTGCAATTTCCCTCGTCGGATGGTCATCCCTTCTTGTCTTAAGAGACAGTTTCAAGCAAGCGCAAAAGCTTATCCAAAACGTAGAACCTTTAAAACATATATCTATAGACCAAATCTTCTGATAACCTTGAACCGAAATATATTGAAGAAGCTACAATTAAGGCTGCTGTTGAAGAACATTAGAGGTTTCATGCTAGGCATTCTAGAAGCAGGAATTTATTTGGTTAGAAAGACCTCTCACCCAGCAAACACTCCGACAAGGTTTCCGCATACCTTTGTGCGAGTCGGGCCGCCCGTGGTTTGTCAAGGGTACTATACGCGGGTGGGTGTGGCCGTGCGCTGCCACACAAGCCTCTAGTCGTAACATGTGGGAAGCTAAATACTATGGCAATGGTCATTGACCCGCCAAGTCACAATTAGTCGTTTGTATCTTCCCATTAACCCCCGTATCACTCCTTCTGTCTAATTCAAACCGACTGTTCAATTCTCGTTGGCCCAACTCGTCTGACTACTGGAACTATAAAGATCTCAAATTGGGCTTCTAGACTCTCACCAATTCATCTCTTCAAATTTAACCTTTACCTTGAAGACATTTCCATGTACCATGAAGAATAACATGCTTCTCACCGACCCCGTACACCTTATTGCCGCAACCCCCCCCCCCACCCCCCCTTTCCATGAATTCCCTTGGTACAGGACTACGAAATCTACCTTCCCGGCTTCAATTTACTCTCTTGATGAACCTTTTCCCGAAATCCTTTCTCCCAGATCCAAGGGGGCCACCATACCTCCCGCCCATGGAATGAGTCCCTTAAATGTTTGAAAAGTGAGAGGGAATTTGCTTGGCTATGATCAGGGGAGGTCACCCGCCGTATTGCAAAATCGTCAGAGACGCGTAAATCGGGATGTTTGGAGACTCGCCGGAGTTCGGGGTCAGGCCCAAGAATGGGGGTGCTACTCCTTTGCTAGGTTGTAGGAGATCTGAGCTTCATTCCTACCTGTCGAAGGGTAGAAGGCCAGGGCATCTGCGCGCTGTTGACTGCTTCGACTCTAAGGGGCAAACGGCAGATGTAAGTATTTTGCATACAGCTTATGCTTTGTCCGAAAAAGTGTAAAGATATTTCTTCTGACCCCGCACAAGCCTCGACGTCCGCAGTAGGGGAAGGTATGGCTAGTATGGCCACCGGAATGTCTCTGCATTTAACCGTCAACACTTGGATCGTTTCTTACCGCTAGGTCGAGGGCGGAGCGGAATGGCCTCCGGCCTATATGGGGGCGCACATGTACCAGTACCTGCAAGACCGTTTTCTAACACGATTGGATTAGTATCAGTACAATCGGTCGCTGCTCGTAAGGTAGCTACATCCAACAATTATGTTT